GCCGTGGGGCCGTCGGGCAGCGCGAGAGGCCACGGGGAACGGAAAGCAAGGCGGGGGTTTGCCCGCGGGGCCGCACGTGTGCGCTGAGCTACGTCCAGAGCCAGGCCTGGGCCAGCTAGGCCTTAGATAAAGCCTTTGCCAGAGTCAAACGAACCCCAGCCGGAAAGCCTGGCTCCCCGATGCTCTGGCGGAGGCAGCCTCACTGCTAGCCAGGCCCCAGGCGTACTCCTGGGCCGAGGGGCAAATACCTGCTCGTAGGGGCTCTTCTCCTGGAGCCCTTTGGCGCCGATGAAAGTCCAGTTGTCTCGGAAGCCCAGCTTGCTCGCGTAGCTACTGCCCAGCTCGGAGAGCAAGGTCCGCGCTTCGTCGTTCAGCCTGAGGAAGGGAGATGGTGGAGCTGGGGTGGGTGCTGCTTTGGGCAGGGGGTGGGACTCGATGACTCCTGAGGGCCCCGCCACCCATGCGCCCGCGAGAGCTCCCTCAGCCGCTCTGGGGAAGGCCGCTCTGCCGGCCCAGCCAGGTTCCCTGTTGGTACCACACGCTCGCCACCCGGGGCAGAGCCTTCCCATCCCACCTCAGCGACCGGCTCTTCCCGCGTGGCCTCCAGGGAGCCGCGTGCGAGGGCAGTGCCGGCGTCATCGTTTGCATGTGGGGGGACAGCGCCTTGCCCTGGGTGCAGAGGGCAGGGAGGTCCTTGGTGGGCCACGGCGCCGGGGGGACTTCACTGCACAGACTGGGGCGGCACGGAGAAGGCTCTGGAGGTTAACAGCTCAGAGGTCTAAGGTGCCCCGGCCCATCCGCAATCTCCATGGCAAGCAGGAGGGCTGTTGGACCGAGTCCCTCTGCGGGTCGGCGTAGGACTGTCTCCGACAGCTGGCCTCCAGCGCCTCGCCAGCCAGTGCTGCTGAGTGCTTTGCTGGTGCACGGCGCGTGAATCTGCCTCCTGTGATGTTTCTGAACAGTCTGGTGGGGGAAGCTCCCTAATCTGGTTCTGAATGCAATGCCTGCTTGAGGGAATGGGGCGGCTCCCCCCGGCACCGGAGGAGAGAGTCGCCATGGACTGTGGGGGTGAAGGACTGGCCCTTGGAAACGCAACGTCACCTCTCCGCACGGCACTTACTTGGTTGCTGGATCATCGTAGGAGGCGACCATGACGATGGTGCCGTGCGGGATCACTTTCAGGAAGTCCAGTAACAATTTGACATCTGGGAAAGAAGAGGAAACCAACTGAGAGTCTCGTTAAACGACAATTTCCCAACCATGCTGTACAGACATAGGGTGACATTCACCCGGGCAGAGGTCCAGCATAAGCACCGGCTCCCCCGAGTGTGAATTGTGCCCAGAGTGCAACAGCAGGTTTCAGGTCGGACTGCGTGTGCAACGCACTGAAAAGAACAGTCCTGCTTCCGACACTAGCAATGCCACTTGTACACAATTACACCTGTCCGGCATGATATGCACCCCCCTTCACGTACCCAGGGCCGGACGGAGGCATGGGCGAGCCGGGCAGCTGCCCAGGGCACCAACCCACGGGGGGCGCCTGATGGCAGCTGTAAGGGGTGCGTGGCGTCCCTTGCAGCTGCCATCAGGACATCTGGAGCCGCGCGCCCGGCTCCCGCGGCACCAGTCCCACGGCGCCGGACAGCAGTGCTCTTGCCCCTACGGCTGCGGGGCCATGCATGGCCTGGTGCGTGCACTAGCAGTGTGGGCCAGGCCGGGCTGGGCAGCGCATGTGCCGTGCACCCCACGGGCGGGCCTGCGCATGTGCCCTGCACCCGGGGGCGGTGCAGCCTGCCTGGGCCCAGGGCTCCAAAACGGCTCGGGCCGACCCTGTGTAGAATAGTAATAGAGATGTAGCCATGTTAGTCTGGTCTTGCAGAAACAAAAGACAGGACAATGCTGCACTTTAAAGACTAATAAGATGGTTTATTAGGTGATGAGCTTTCGTGGACGAGACCCACTTCCTCCGCCCAGAGTTCTTACTGCAACAAACAGTAATTTGCCTGACGAGCTACTTGGCTATCGGCGCCTCGCCCTTCTAGAAAGGCTACGGCTTTTGACAGATGGGATCTGTCCTCCACTAATGATTTCCTTTTCAATTCTTCGTCTGCGGGTTTCCTGGTGAGCCAAATGAGTCCATTTCCGCCAAGCATAATTTATCGTTTTTCTATCTGACATGGCTTAAATCAAAGTTCATCACCCAGCGCCATTAAGGCTAATTAATAAAATACCCCCTTGCCGATTAATCAGCGAAGAGCGATTGAGCTAAACTCATTAGACTCAAAGACAACTGCCCCCTCATGTTTCCACCGAGCTGAGCCGGTTAACGGCCGGGCCTCAGAGACATGATAACTGCACAGAACATTCAGCCAGGAGGGAAACAAGCCGAAAACACATTTTTCATGTTTTGGGGACAGCCTCTCGGCACCTTTATGCTCAGTGGGTTCGACAGCAAGCATCCTTAGTAACAACGAGTGGTCCTAGTGTGATGCTGGACCGAACCTCGCAAGCCACAACCTCAGGGGCTCCTACAGCTGCACAACCTGTACTGTGATCTATGCCAGCAACGCCCTCTGCCATGTTGATTGGCCAGACCTACTGTCTGTACCCCAAAGGGTTAACGGACACACATCTGACCTCAGGAATGGTAACACGCACACACCTGCAGGGGAATGCGTAGCAGGTTTAAAACTAATTAAAGGAAGTTCTTCTTCACACAGCGTGTTGTCAACCTGTGGAACTCCTTGCCAGAGGAGGCTGTGAAGGCTAGGACTATAATAGAGTTTAAAGAGAAGCTAGATAATTTCATGGAGGTTAGGTCCATAAAAGGCTATTAGCCAGGAGACAGAAATGGTGTCCCTGGCCTCTGTTTGTCAGAGGCTGGAGAGGGATGGCAGGAGACAAGTCACTTGATCATTGTCTTCGGTCCACCCCCTCTGGGGCACCTGGTGCTGGCCACTGTCAGCCGACAGGATAACGGGCTAGA